CTCTTTATTCGTCCGAGACCAGGTTATAAAAGTCCAGCTTTGAAGAGACCAGACAGTTTTTGACAGTTGAAGTCAGTTGAATTGAGTCTGAGTTTGTAAGAGTTCTTCAACAAGGGACCAAGACACTTGACCAAGGATAGTGGTGCAAGTAATTATAACAGTGAAGAAGAAAGGTCCGCAGGTTTTATAAGTGATAATAATTGTACTTGCGAATGTAAAAAAGTGAGTCCAGTAAAAACAAAAAAGAAAGTTGTATGCTTAATATTGTGACATGTTGACCCCTACCCCCCCAGCTGCACATAGCGGTAACATAGCGCTCGCGTAATAGGCAAGTAATCACCCCGCATCCTGGTAGCTATGCAACGCGCAACGCGCGGTGACGTCACGAGCGGAGCCGAAGATAGCCGAGCCCCAGCAACCTGGTAACTATGCAATGCGAGTCAACAGCGGTGACGTAACAGGATGACGTGGCACTCATTATGCAACAAGCAAGCACTGCAGCTATATAAGTGAGCTGCACAGCGGCTGCAAGTCAGTTATAAAGTGACAGTCGCCGAGCGTGTTATCAACAGTTCTCCAGTCAGCCGACTACAGTTGGAGTATAGCAGCCGTCGCGGAAAGAAGATCCGGACGTGTGTGTGATTGTGTAATTGGGAGTGTGTGATACAGTGATACATAGCTCCCCTACTGTAAACGTGTAGACTACTGAAGACAGAGTGAACTGATTTGCGCATAGGGTTATAAATCGTGAAACCCCGCAACAGTGTTAACAGATTAATGCGATTAGGGTTATAAAGTGTGAAACCCCGCAACTGTGTTATAAATAATTATAGCCGTTATTTGTAGATTGTTAAATAAACCAATTAACCATCTCTACGGCGTCTTCAGTAACGAAGCACGTTACAATATTCATAATTGTGTAGTTGTAATGTATTGTCACTTGTTGGAGTGGCTATAGGTGGGTTTGGAATTATAATCAGATTTATTGAACACTTTAATTCATAATTCGTGACTTCACTTTACAAATCACTATCACCCAAGCTAGGGTTCTCAACTGTGGTCTCCACTGCAATGCTCAGTACTGGCTTCCAGTGGTGGATGTACTTCTTCCTGTGGGTTCCCAAACTGTCCCCAGCCTCAGCAGCTGGCTGCTAGCTTGCAGTTATATACAGATTCCACATTCAGCAGTGCATGATGTGCTAGACAAGAGGCTCTGCCTAAGATCGTACAAGATGCAAATGATTCATGCACCAAATCCGAGTGACCAAGTAGCACTCACAAACTTCGCTGTGGATATGATACCTGATTTCTTGCACCAAGCGTGCATTTTGGAAGAAGCAACATTCCATGTCAGTGGAGTTGTAAACAAGTGCAACTGCAGGATTTGGGGAAGTCACATGTCCACATGTCACTTGTGGGTGGGAGAGAGGTCGCCCCAAAATGAACATGTGGGGAGGCTTAATGCACGACAAGTTGATTGGACCATTGTTCTTTTCTGAAAAGTCTGTGACTGGACGTTCATACTTGGATGTGCTGGAGCTGTATATGCTGCCCCAGTTACCACCTCAAACTAAGAAAAGAAGAAATGCCAAATAAATCTAGAGGCTACTTGAGACCAGGAGCCTTAAGGAGGGTGCATTGTGACATGATGACAGAATAATTCAACAGGAGAAGCCATCTACTGCTAGGTAATTGCTCAGTATACATGCATCATGGCAGTTGATACACACACACACACACACAATAACAGATGAATTGATATAGAATAAACACAACAGAGGTACCATGGAAATGATGTTTTTTATGCAGTCCATGCAGAGGCTGTATAACTAGGACCATCTGACAGCCATGAGATGGTAGAAAGCTGGCAACAGAGTGGGCACAGAAGTTGAAAAGGACATTGTTGAGAACTACTACCAAGCAATGACTAGTGAAGACATGGAAGACTGAGAAGACTTATTGTTTGCAGTAGTGATTTGTTAAGTATGTAGGTTATTCACAGTGTTATAATTATTTATTTATTTAGAAGATCCATGCAAGTCTGAGGCTTTGTGTACATTTTCACAACAAGCTTATTTTTTTATGGTGAGGAGTTGTTAGCCCCACGCCCAACCCCCAAGCCGGAGGACCACCCCTTGTCGGCTGTCCACGACTGCTTATTCAATATATTCACAGCTTTGTATTAGGTCTTGTACTCTTACATTAAGGAAGGAACGTATACGGAGGGTGTTTGAGAACGGTGTTGAGGAGAATATTTGGACCGAAGAGAGATGAAGTGACAGGAGGCTGGGGAAAACTGCATAATAAGGAGCTTCATAACTTGTACTCTTCTCCAAGTATAATTAAAATGATGAAGTCAAGGAAGATGAGGTGGGCAGGGCATGTAGCATGAATGGTGGAGAAGAGGAATGCATATAGGATATTGGTGGGAAAGCCGGAAGGAAAGAGCCACTGGGAAGAGCAAGGCATAGGTGGGTGGACAATATTAAAAGGGATCTTAGATAGGATGACATTGGATTAATCTGACTCAGGATTTGGACCAGTGGAGGGCTCTTGTGAACATGGTAATGAACCTTTGGGTTCCATAAAATGCTCAGGCATTTTTGAGTAGCTGCAGAATTGGCTGTTTGTCAAGAAGGGCTCAGCTCCATGAGTACATGTATAATTATTTGTAATTGTGAGGTACAAGTGTTCAGTAAATCCAATTATCAGTCAAACCCCTGTGTCTAGTCACCAAAACATGCAATTTTACTGAGCAATTTTGATTGAGAAGTAGTGCCTTTGAATTGTATTCAAGATGTGGCCAGTTTAAATCTTGTTCTATATATTGACTGTCATGACTGGTTGTTTGTGGTTTTCCTCAGTCCCTCCAAATGAATGCCAGGATAGTGCTTTGAAATAGGTTATGGTCACTTTCTTCCACATCCTTTCCAGTTTTTCATTAACTGATCATGTTACCATTGAATAATACACTGTTCAAGCTACTAACATTGTTGTTAATTACATCTAAATACAGAGGTACATATTAATCTTAACACTTTGCGGACCAGCGATTTAAATATTTAAATCTCCCTGGGGACCGGCATTTTTATACCTACTACCCTAACTTTTGCACTGTTCACTTTAAAAATTAATATAAAATCTCCTAATTAATTTTATAAACTAAAATTTTTGGAGAACACTTACCAGTACTCCTAGAAGTGCTTGAGAGTGTGATATTTCTGGAAACATTCCCCTTTGTGAAGTGGCATTACACAGAACTTGCAAATGTAGACAATCATAGCCCTTTCTTTTTTTGTGAACTGCGCAAACATGGCACTGCCTAGAAGGTAGCTTCCCCTTGGAATGTTCACGCTTCACAATTTTTGCGAGGGTATGTTTCTGCATATCACCTGAGAGTCGCCCAGGGGTGTCCACATGAGGCCTGCGTGGGGTGGGAGTTCATGGGCTAGGTCACATTAAGTCTGTCTGACTCTGGTTCTGCAGCCACCATCTGGTCTGTAGCCCAAGCCTTTGCCACATTCATCAGAAATACTTTGTATTTCAAATTATAATCAGGGTTTAGGATTTTGTAAACCAAAAATGAATTGAAAACGGCACAATATATAAGCCACAAGGCAACTTTCACTTTTATTATCTGTGGCCACAATTCTTTGTTGACCCCTGTCACTTCCACTGTCTGAGTCACTAATCACTACTCCTCCACAAGGCACGTCAGATAGCTCATCGGAAAACAAGTCACAGAGATTGCTTGCCTTCAACTGCTTTTGTCCTTGAAACATATTCCCCTCTACTAGTTAGTTAGTTATTAAAGAGGGTGGGTTTCCCCATGCACTTAGACCAGTATTGGTCCATTGTGCTTCCCCCTGTGATATTCTACCAGTCTCTATACCCTACCGGTACTGGTGCGTACCATCAGTCCCGACCGAGCCAGCTAGTTCGGCCTCTACTAGCTCAGTGGTATATTTTGATGCTTCCCCCATCTACCAGAGGCGTTAGAGACTACTGTTGGGCGGGAAATGTCCTTAATTTCTCTCAGTGGCCTTCTTTGGAGACATGAAGTTCTTTTACGTGCCGTAAAGCTGAATTTTTCCGCCCTTAAAAATTCACGACCTCCGCCGGGTTTGAACCCGCATACCTTGAGTCACGAGGTGGGAACGTTACCCCTAGACTACGGAGGTCGCTGTCCCCTCTAGTAACTTCCTGCCTTGTACATAAACAGCTGCAAGGGACGAAGTTTATTTTCTTTTGAAGTAGGGACCCTAGCCAGCCGGGTCAAGTTACTGAATACCTAGCATAGATTCCGAAGATTTATTACGCAGTATTCATTGCAGTTGCATGGCACCAGAGAAAGGTATAATGTGTTACAACCTAACGTGTCCTAAAAGCATAATATTATGCGACAGGTCCGCCACGTTTAAAAGCGAAAAACCTTTTAAAGGGTCCGGGGTCCGCAAAGTGTTAATATATACATGGGTTTAGCTTGTTTCTCTGTTGGTATTTATGGTAGTAAATAGTTTCAAATCAAAACAGAAGATTGTAGCAGTGGAACATATGCTGTAGTTTGTAGTACAGTGTCGTTCTTCGCTGAAAATCCTCTAGATAGTAGCACCAAGTAATGCATGTTGTTATTCTGCATGAAAGTATGAATGTATAAGGGGTGGGCCTTCTTGGCTCTTGCACTGTGGCCACAGTGATCTATTGTACCTTTGTTATTCTGCATTGTTTAGTATGTTAGTTCAAACATAGCTGTCTTTTCAGAATTTGTAAATTTTTAAGGCTGGGTATTTTTGATGAAGTTTATTTTTAACAATTATGTGCTCAAATTTCAATGGTCTTTATGTTAGTAATGAATACCTATAAAGCCAAGAGGATAACATTTTGTAAATGTGAATTGATTAGTGAAGAATTTCTGCATTTTGGCCTGGGATATGTTGACTCTAAATAGATGAAATGTTTTATATTTTCTGCAATTAACATTCTTACCATTTTTATTCTAGCAAATGCTTCTGGTGTGATTATCGATACCGGTGGGTGGGTGAAGGGTAATGGATACAAGCAACTCACCCATGCTGCCCAAGCATTTGCGGTGGACATCATCCTAGTCTTGGATCAGGAACAGCTGTACCATGAGCTTGCGCGTGATATGCCAACATCTGTGAAGGTTGTTTTCCTATGAAAGAATAGAGGTGTAAGTAGCTCAGTCTTTTCTGTATGAACTGTGTAACTGAAAACCCCTGTCAAGGGAGGTTCAGCACTGCTAATACCCTGTGCAAACTCCAAATTTAAGTAAAAGAAACACTATCTAATTTACAGTTTTCATAACGATCAGTTGTACTAACATAATTACTGAACTCATGGTACTGTTAAATTCTTGTGAACTTTGAGCTAGACTGTAGAAGCAGCACTCGAGGTATCTGGTATAGGAAAAGGTATAAACTTTCCCACTGTGAAAAGCCATTACCATCATTGAGTTTATTATTTTTAAACTTATTTGGGAAACCTCTCCACTCAAATTGCCTACAAGTTTACAAATAAGAATAATTTGCCATTGTTGAGAGATTCAGCACATGGGTTGTCAAATGCCAGTTGGTTGTTTTCTATGTCTTATTCTTTGTATTGGAAAGCAAAGAATGTAAGAGTTTTTAAACTGAATAATTACAAGCATTTCCTTAATTTATTCTTACCTAATTTAATCATGAATGCCATTTATATATTTAGATTTTCGGATATCATGGCAGTGAAGATAACAATATGAGTAATTTATATTTGATATTGTTCTTCCAGTATACTTACTTTTGAATCATTTCCTTTTTTGTACATATATCTGTATTACTTAAACTGGATCAGTCTTGTGATTTAAATTTAGTTCCTTATGTTACCACATTATGTTAGTAAATTACACAGAGAGAACAACAAAAAATAGTTTTATAAATACAGAGTCATGAAATAGAAGACGTTCATGGAAATATATCCCACAGAAATATTTAAGAGCAAAGAGCAGCTTAAATTTGAGAGTATATGTGACATATATCTGTACAGATTATATGTTATACATTTTCTTCTCAGTTAAAAAATAAGTATTAATAAAGTAGACGTTTGAAGTTTGTCATGGTATTGGTAAATGCTGTAAAATAGCTTGTCTTGTGCTCATTTCTTCATCAATTAAGGTGTTCCAAGGATTAGGATGTTTCTCTTAAAGCCTTGGCTACCTAAATACACACCCCTCATTCTCATGGTATATTTTGTTTTCATAAATGAGGTTCTAGTGTGTGAGTTGTGATCCTATAACCATTATATTCAGTGCAAAAAAAGAAATTACTACTAGGTGATTGCATTTGACCAGTGCAGTGCAGGAAATAATGCCACTGCCTAAAATTAAAGTAGGTTTGTTTTAAATATATATTAGGGATGAAATAATAGGAAGGTGAAAAAATGCATAATGAGGAGTTTCATAACTTTTTCTCCTTGCCAAATATAATTAGAATGATCAGGTGCAAGTAAGTGTAACAGTCTCACTGAATTACACACTCCAAATATAAATGCAACTATAGCACACACAAAATCCATTGTCTTCACTAGATATTTCCTGGTAACGGATTTTAACACTGTTCGCTACATCCTTATAGTCTGGCACATATTCCACAATTGAACTAAGTCTTCTCTTCACAGATTCAGTGTTTTAACTGACTAACTCCCAGGCTGGCAGCCATTTCACAAGAGCCCCCTAGTCTTCTCTTTACAGACTGAGTTTCAACTGACTAACTTCTAACCTTGTCCCTTGCTTATAACATCTGGACACAGACCAACAGAAAACATATTTCTTCTATTGTTGCTCCCAGTGTTTTTGTGGGAACATGTTTTGTTTGTGCAGCATTACCCAGTAATGGCTGACATATTTGTATATATTGTGGTCGTTGCCTAGTAATGGATGTTTCTTGTTTCAACGTCATTACCTAGTAATTACTATATGCGCTACAATATTAAAATGGGGTTTTGAGAAATAGGATGGGATGGTATGGATAGTCCTGCAAATTCTAATTTTGAAAGCCAGCCACACATTGTTCAGCCAGTCCAGAAGAAGAGAGGCAGGCCCCTTGGGTGATCTCTTTCTGCATGTGATGGTACTCACAGAGCATTCGGAAAGCCAGTCGGCCAACAATATCACAAACATATCCCTTCCAGATGACAGTAGAAGCCAAACGGTGGATTGTGTTGTTACTCATGCATTCTTTGCTCCTCCATACAATGTTTACATTCATGTGCTGAAGTTCCTTTTTGGAAAGAGTGACTGTGAAACTTGAATGTTAAACCCTAGATTCCTGTGCATACACCTTAGGGATTTAGAGAGGAATCTGCAAGCCTAGAACTGATTTCATCCATTTTTTTGTTCACTGAGCACGCAAGATTTTTTTTTTTTTGTCCATCAATAATGTTTGTTTAAATTTACTTAATATCGTTGAATAGTTCTATTTGAAACTGTAATAGAAATTTATGTAGCATCTTCTCTTTACTTTTTGTACACAACCGACATTATTTGGTCCAATGTGCGACTCTCACATGGCATTTCACCACAGGATATAACATGACTGACATGACTGGTTACTGCACAGGTCAAAAATAAAGTAGCAGTAGTGACATGCGACTTGGGGTTTTTGAATGGGCCAGCATATAATGCTTGCATCATGTGAGCTGTTCAGCAGTCTACTGGGGTGGTATTGAAGAGAAGTTGTAATGTGTAAAGGCTGTTTGTTGGCCAAGCCACAAGTCTGAAAGTGCATGAACTGCCACCTGAACAGCCAAACAATTTGCATAAGGCTCTCAAATATCCTTCCTGTATTAGACATATTATATCGTAGCATCAGATTGTAAGACAGTGATTATTATTATTGTTATTATTAATAAATTTACACAATTATGGTATTGTGACATGTTGCGCAAAGGAGAACCCCCCCACCAGCAGTGACGCGGCGGGTGAGTCAGCGCTCCCCTCCCCCTCCTCCGCACAGTAACGTAACGGTGACGCAACAGGATTGTTACGGTAGTAACAGCGGTTACTACCGCTAGCGTTACTAGCAACACAGCGCCAGGCAACAAGGGTGCTTATTACATGGCCGTTTTCCGTATGGTCCGATCAAGGCTACATAAGGAGCAGCGAAGGCTATTCACAGTCAGTTGTACTGTGACAGCCACCGAGTTAGTTGTAACCTGGCCATCGCCGAAGACAGTTCCAAGTTCTACTGTAACAGTCACCTAGGCAGTTGTACTGTGACAGCCGCCGAGTTGTAACGTAACAGTCGCCGAGTGTGTTATCAACAGTTCTCCAGTCAGCCGACTACAGTTGGAGTATAGCAGCCGTCGCGGAAAGAAGAACCGGACGTGTGAGTGATTGTGTAATTGGGAGCGTGTGATACAGTGATACATAGCTCCCCTACTGTAAACGTGTAGACTACTGAAGGCAGAGCGAACTGATTTGCGCATAGGGTTATAAAGTGTGAAACCCCGCAACAGTGTTAACAGATTAATGCGATTAGGGTTATGAAGTGTGAAACCCCGCAACTGTGTGATAAGTAATTGTAGCCGTTATTTGTAGATTGTTAAATAAACCAATTAACCATCTCTACGGCGTCTTCAGTAACGTAAACACGTTACAGTATAATCACACCATGCATTTGCTTGTATTACGTGTTCTGGCCTATTGTGGTCATCTCTGAAGCTGTATGTACCTGATGATGGCCGCGATAGGCCAAAACATGTAGTACATGCAAATGCATGGTTTGTTTATAACAGAATTATGTCAACTGAATAATATTGAGCCTTCCTGTATATTTTATAGGTTGTTCAACGCAGTCAGAGAGCACGGGCAGAAAAAAGAGACGCTAAGGTGCTTGAATATTTCTATGGTTTGCGTAAACCATTATGTCCTCATTCATTTGATGTTGCTTTTTCTGATGCAAAAATCTACAAGATAGGTGCCCCAGCACTGCCAGATTCCTGTATGCCTTTCGGAATGAAGGAAGAGGATAATCTCACTGAACTAGTAGCTGTGACACCAGGTAGGTGTTATTCATTGATTCTGTTTAAAAATGCTGTATCAACTTCAGATTATGTAGCATCAGAAGTCATGATGATGACCATATAAGTGGAAATATGTGGTTTAAACCTTTGCTGCATCTAACATATTAGAAAAAAATAAAATTAATTTTCCCCTGGCATGTTTACTTCATGTAATAAAACTTGGTGGATATAAATGATATTTAATGTAAATAATGTCAGAGTCCTGGGATTATAGTGAATTTAAATGGCACAACAAAGCATTAGTTTCAACATTGGAATGTTAGCATCATATTCATGAGTGTTAATCTCAGTTGTATAAGTTTTTAGCCTGTTTCCAAAAGAAAAATCAAACTAATATAATTGAGTGATTCAGTATTGAGGGGGTGGGTTTCCCCATGCACCACGACTGATAGTCTATTGTACATCCCCCTTTTAATTTCTACTGTCTCCATCCCCTACCGATACTGGTGCTCGCTATCAGCCCCTTTCTGCCAGCGAGGTTTCTACCCTCTACTTGGCAGTGGTATCTAATAGTTAGTCCCTTTCTGTCAGCTAGGTAGTCCCTCCTCTGGCAGTGGTACCTAATACTTAGCCCCTTTCTGCCAGCGAGGTTTCTACCCTCTACTTGGTAGTGGTATCTAATAATTAGTCCCTTTCTGTCAGCGAGGTCGTCCCTCCTCTGGCAGTGGTGCCTAATACTTCCCCATCTATCGGAGGCATTGGAAACTACATGGGCAGGAAACTTTTGGCCTAATTTAGCTCAGAGGCCTCCTAGAGACATGAGGTTCTTTTAAGTGTCGTAAATCTAGGACACGGGACCCATGGCTTAAAGTCCCTCCCGGAGGACTTGTTACCTGAATTTTTCTGCCCTTAAAAATTCCACGACCTCGGCCGGGTTTGAACCCGCGTACCTTGAGTCATGAGGTGGGAACATTACCCCTAGACTACGGAGGCCGCTAACTTATATGATAATGTATATACTTGGCTCCAGTGTGCAACTGGAGAGCCCCCAAGTGTCATGTTTTTAAATTTCTGCCTTCAGAATTTCCAGCAATTTGGTTATGTGATCTTTTGAGGTGGGTACACAGTGCTGTATTGTATGACAATGAAAATAAGTGTATTAGATATCTGAAAAGAATAAGTACAGTAGAAAGCCGATTATCTGAATTAGTTAAAAAGGTGGTTTGGATAATCAAAAATTTGGGTAATGGGATTAAATTGTTATATTTGGAAAAGCGGTATTATAACACTGTAATAATGTATGTACTATTATAATAATAAAAACGAAAAAAAAACTTAAAACAGTTGAAACAAGGAAAATGAATAAATGTAATTATAAATTAACATTTTCAAACACTTTACATTTGAAAAAGTCCAACGGTGATGTTTCTTTAGCAGACACATTTCTTGGTTGTGGCGATTCAGTTAATTGGCAGTTCAGGTAATCAGGATTCTTATAATCGGTTCTGTACTGTAGCTTTTGTTGAGGGAAATTTGATTAAAACAGAAGAAACACGGTGACCATGAATATTTGCAGAAATGGTAATTTAACATATTTTGATATTTAGTTTGTTTTGGAAATAAGACAAGAAGATAAAGGTTTGAAAGAAACCACGTGAAATTAGTAAACAGCTGTTATAAGCATAACTGGGGTTTTGGACTTTTCCCATCGTCCAGAATTCTTTTCTCACCTGAAGACTGAAACAGATCCAGTTTCTGAAACATCATGTCCTCTATTACCTAAAATTCTGGATGATGGAAAAAGTCCAAAACCCCATTAATTGTGTGTGTGTCATCCACCATCTTCAGAACCCTTTAGAGTCTAGCTGTTACAAGAATCATCACTTGGCTTAAATACTTAAAATATGAAATCCAATAAATAGTCAGTAAATATATGATGTCATTGGTGAAGGTGAATATTAAAGTTGATAACAATTTTTTTGAGTATGCATAAATATCTTTAAAATATAACATTCCATTCTTGGCCGAAGACACAGATGGCATTAACATGTTAGTAACATGGCAGTCCATTATACTGGGATCCTGATGCATGATATATTGCATTTTATTGTGTACTTTTGATTAAATTAGCTCTTAAATGTACAAGTAACCATGGATCTGTGGGGGACTTGAAATGAAAGAAATTGCATATAAAATATTGTAATATAATGATGAGAACTTTAACATGAGATTTCTTACTGATTTCTAGGACCAGATCTGCTGTACCATATTTTAGCTGTAAGTGTTGTTGCCTCGGTAGAAGACGACGCCATTCAGAGTAATATTGCAGGCTTTGTTTGTGTGTAAGTACTAATATTACATATATAACCATATGCATTAATCTTCTTGTTTTTCACTTTTCTTCAGTTCTGTCCCCAAAACTTGGTTATGAAACTTAATCAACTGAAGGTTGCTGTCTTCTGGGATGTGATGCTATGTTTTGTAGAGGTACCTGTTATCTCCGTTTCCAGGGTAGAGTATTTTTCTACTGTGAAGATAGAGGCATCCAGCAGATTCTTCTGAAGCATGGATACCTAGCAACTGAACATGACATCACATCTGAGATAGGAATATTCTTTGTAGTCACTACTATCAGAAAGCAAAATATCGTACCAGTATACCTCTTGTATTAACACATTGTTCAGAGTCATGTTTCCCTTTTTTTTTTTTTTTTTTTTTTTTTGCTAAATTACAATCCCACATCAATTTCAGTTCTACAAACCTTACATTTCAGCACTGAGAATGCATGCTGAGGTCTGTGGTTATATCTAAAATCAGTTTTCTATCTGTCGAGTTGCCATTATGTTGGGACAGTTTGTTATTTTTAACTTACTGTATAAAATTTACCTGTCTTAGTCAGGATTTATAAAGTGTTGACAGTGGCTTGTTATTTCCCTAATTCTCAGATTCAAGTAAGGACAAGGCCTTACTGTCAGTGGTGTTTTCAGAAACATAGCCCTGTCTTTTGGCAAGGGATTTTATATATTATATTTCAGGTACTGTTATAAGCTAAATGATGCTGAGTAGGTTCTTACAAATGATTTGCTGAGGGATATCTTGTCCAACTGTAGTTTCAGCTGTAAAGAGTAATTATCACAGAATGTTTATTATTGTATACAAGATTATTACGAGGTCATATGTACATTTGGGCAAGTAAAATATACTATCATGAATTTGAGGCAACATAAAATCAGTGGGGCCTAACACATCTTCACATCACCCATGTCAACTTCTACTCATTGCGCCTTGGTTATCTAGCTCCATTGCTAGTATCCCCGTCATTTTAGTATGTACCGTCATTTAAAAACTGATGCTATAGAACAAATGGTGGCACTCATGCTCTATATTATATCAGCCATGTCTTTAAATGCATTTTCTATAAATGAAAAAATTTGTATGGACCTAAAACAACAACCACAACCTTCAGATGTCTTTACCTTACAATTTTTCTGCTTCCTTTTCCATCCTTCCTTCTTCTTTCTTAATTACAATGCATCCACATACAACATGTTTCTGTATAATTGTGGACATTTCTTACAATTTTTATAATACAAATGTGGGTGTGGAAAGGCAAAGCATGACTGTGCTTTCACCTCAGCCACAACCACTGCCAAAAACTATTCTTCTTCTGTCGGATATTCAGTTCATGGATGACTGGTGATAGAGGGCAGGGCAACATGACCAGTATTTGTTATGAGGTATGTTTTTAGTCTCCATACTGTGTCAGCATATGCTGTGATAGAAATAAGAAAATACTGGTGTTGGATTTTGTGTATCTGTCTTATAAGTGTAGCAACAGAACATGCTTATATTCATTGAATAGATATTCAGCACTGAAACGTTTGGAATCCATTTTAAGACTATGTCTCATATGTCTTGCCAAATTTGGATTTTGACAAAAGTTTTCAACCATTTTTAAGAGTTGTTGTACACGTCTGTAAAGGCATTCATTTGGGTATGGGTCTGGATAAACTAAGGCGTTTTGACACAGAGGAAAGCACCCATAATATTTTGCTTCCAACCTGGAAAAAGAATTAATTATTACTCAGTGATAGGTAAATTAAAATATTGTGGGAGGTATGTACATTTTCACTTGAAAACCATCACCTGTATAGAGAGGTCAGTGTAACTTACACTGATAATTATTACACATCTTCCTGATTCGTATTTGTACAGTTTGTGCAAGTAAAAAAGGTAAAGTTGTCACTGTGCTTAACTAATTGAGCACTGCGCCATGAAGGCATATGGGTGATTGTATGTTTAGATCCACGGTTTCTTGACCTCGGCACTTGCTGAAGGTGAGTGGTCAGCTTCATGCCCGGCCATTTTATCCCCAGGGAAAAAACCACCAATACCCATTGGATAGGAGGTTGGGTGGACACCAGCGTCGATCTGGATGATGTGGAGAAGAGAAAATTCTTGACCCTACCAGGACTCGAACTCCAACCTTTCGGTCATCCAGCCCATAGCAATTCACTATATCAACTATGCTATCCCAAATGCCAACACATTTTCAAATTAACCTGAAGGATTGTTTCAATCACCATTTTAACATATCAGAAAATCTCTCTAAGCTGAACAGATTTCCATGAGCTAATACTTGTGATGTTTAAGACTTTCATTATGAAGCTTAATTACCATTCACATTAACAATTTGCAATTTTAAAACTAAATTTAACATTTTGTCTTTGAAAAACTGTTCATGTGTTAACGTTTTTAGATGGTATTGCATTTTTTGACTTTAATAGGCATGAAATCATACTTTGGAACTGTGTTGCGCAATCTTAAAATTGGATTTCTTACTGTTGTATCCCAGCAGGAAAGCAGGTGAAATGAATATGTTGTGACAAATTACTGTAAGTTCAGGCATATATTTACAGTGCTTCCGTCATTTTTAGTCATGATTTAAAGTAAGATTTTTTTTATTTCATACTAATTTGAAGATGTCAGAATGACAGGAGACCCAGTCACCAATTTTATGAATAGGCACTATTTGTGAAATGGGCAAAGAGCTAGGAATTTCTTAAGACTTGTGTCAGGTCATTTTAAATGAAGATACAGGAAGGAGGCATATCTCAGCCTTTGTCACTCAGAGGAGGAGGAAAAGAAGCTGATAATAGGTGGCTTCTGTCTTGCTTGAATATACAGAAACTGATGAAAATATTTTTGGAATATATTTTAACTGAAACATGATAGTTCATTATAACCACTAAAGTCAGCAGTAGTCATCACTAGAAATCTTGTTGCCTGTTGTGGCTTAAAGAAGCACATCAAATTGCAGCAAAATTAAGCTGAAACTATTATTTTAATCGACTGTGAGGGTGCTGTACACCATGAAGTCAGACTGTTTGCCAGCTTTTGATGCATGGTTTTGTATATGGCCATAAAAGTGGGAATCAAGCAGCTGGCAAATTCACCATGAAAATGCACCTGTCCACTCAGCACAGTTTGGCAGTCTTTTGCTAAACACAGTGTTACACAAGTGAGACAGTGCCTCTACTCTCCAGGTATGGCCTCTTGTGAATTTGTCTGTTCCGTAAATTTAAAGGACCTTGGAATATAGATGATCTGATATTGATCCAACTGAGAATAGTGTAATGGAACAGCTGATGATGGTTCCAAAAGGTTAGCATGAGAGGTGTTTCTTTGTGCATGTTGAAGGAGCCTGCTTTGAAGAGGATTAACCTCCCAGCTCTGTAAATATGGCACCTTAATGTTCAAAAGATCAATTGCTGATCACACCTCAAAAATGCAGTTAATAGTTACAAAGTTGATTTGTATCACATAAGGCTCCTTTATGAAGCTTTGAAAGAAATGTATGCTTGGCAGTAGTCACAGTAAGGAATGGAGGCCAACAATATGGTTCTTGCTGCTAGTTCTTTGGGGGTTGGGGGCCTCTTTCTGTGCTTTGAAGAGTTCAGGTGTTGGGTCTTCTGCTAATGTGAATAGACAGTCAGAATTTACATGGGCTCTGAGGGAAAGACTATAAGAAGGCTCTTGACAGGGGTGACTAACCTATCAAGAAGAAGAACTGGAATGGATGGTAAAAGAGTGGGCCAAGTGAAGAATCTCTTCTGTAAGGAATTGAGGCTTCGGCCATAAGTTGGTTGTGTGTTCATCTCGGGCCAGTGGTGAGTGGTCAGCTGTCCCTGTCAGTGAATGTTGCTGGAGGGCTACAGATGTCCCACTGTCAGCAGTCCAGGAGATCTTTCTAAGGTACTAGATGGGTAAGTTGTTAGCCATTTCTGCCAAGAGGAGGTAGCCGTTAGCTCTTGAGGGCTTTCATGAGGTGCCTGGGGGGGTTAAACTGAATGAAGTTTCTTGATGAGGGTATCCATCCACAAGGGCTTCTGGGATAGCATTATGTTGAAGCCCAACTTGGTTGAACATGGATTGTGACCTTTAGCTCTGCATGGGACAGCCACTGGAAGTTAAAGAGAGCCTCAGTCTGAAGGGGTTAGGCTCTAGCTAAGGTAATGGTTTGTAAGGAGCCCCAGCAATACTGGGGGTGGACAGTGGACCCAGTAGAGGTCTGAGTACTCAAGGGGCGAATATAAGTTGTCCTCCTTACGTCAGTACTCAATTCTCACAGTAAAGAATGTTAGTGAATTACTGCTATTTTAATCCCAGCATTGAACAAGCATGGTAAAGACAGTGAAATATAAGTACAACAGACTTCTGGGAAACAACAGAATTTACTATCATGTGTTCCTGGAAGGCACAAGTCAAAAAATGTAATAGCATGCCACCCTTATGACATCAAAAATTAGACATATGGTTACAATGTAGCTTCTGCAAAAGCTAGTGACTTCAACTATTTCACCTCCTGCTCTTCAGCAGCACGTGTCAGATGTCCTTAAAGTGACGATTCTCATTGTGTCTGCATGTATGCAGAAGCCTGTTCCCATTTACATTGTTGCCACAATCTTTCATTATTCCCCCCCCCCTTTTTAATGAAATTCCCGTCTGTAGTTACCCCAAACCTGAAAGTATTTGTGGGCATGTCATGCTTTTAAGATCTCATGTCTAGCTGTGTAACTTCCTTCACTGAAATGAGTGATAGTGACTGCTTGTTCATGGATTAGACTGTCAATAATACATGTGCATTCTCTCTCTCTATCTGGACAATCGGCTCAAAGATGGCGGTAAGGTTGTCAGCCTTACGTTCCAGCCGTGCTTTACCCCCCAGGAAAATTATTTAATTAATTCCTTGGACTCATTTCTGTTAGAGGCTGAGTCGAACCCAGGGCCATAGTGCGGCTGGAAGGATTAGGTCAATTTAAAAAATCCAACGACCTGATCGGGACTTGAACCCGCGACCTTGACCCTAAACGTCTCACCACCCCGATGGGCCGTCACGACCTGTTACAGGGGTAGCTTTACTTTTTTTTACTTACATTGTTTCTCTAAATTATTTTATATAATTATTAAGACAGCTTCTGGGAAATAATGCTATGTTGTCTGGTAGAAGTTCGCCAACATTTCAGATGAATGTACTGCTTCCACCTTCAGGGCCAAAGATCAGGCAGTTGTTTCTTGGTATCCTCTTCAATCCTGAAGATAGTGTCATTTCATTCCATTGAAACATCAGGAATCTTCTACCAGACTACGAGTACATAGTGTCATATCACAGAAGACACTGATGTGAGAATTATATGTAATTATTAACCTATTCATGATATATTGTAGTAATAAATGAATGTCTGTGTTCAGAGTTGTATTTCTTGCAGAACATACAAATATGTATGTTGAATGCAGGTACTACTCTTTAACTCCATATATGGTCAACCTGTAGCATTCAGTAACCGAATAAAAGTGATCAAGAATGTGCATTTCAGGATTAAACTTACAGTAGAGAGAGTGTAATTTCAACCTTTCCTGTGTCACAATAATTTACTGAAATTCTTGAGTCTTTTTCACTTTTTTCAGCTGGTATTTCAAATTTTGTTGTATTTTTCCAACCATCACTCTGAAACAGTAAAAGATCTAGTTCAGCCATCTAGTATCACAGACAGGAACTAAAATAACAGCATAATAGCAATGTATTGATTGATTGATTTACTGATGAAGGGGTGGGTCATACTGGCCCTTACACTGTGACTGCCATTTGGTCTTTAGTGTGCCCCCCATCTTAGTCATCCCTCTAGCAGTCCTACACTTTAGATGAAATGTGGTACTAGTAGTAGTGTAAATGGATGACAAATTATGGAACAGATTGTATATGATATGGAGAGGCAGGAAGGCACTCACAGAATGTATGTATGTCTTAGTATTTCATAATATTCATGTTTTGTTTTCTAGTGACCCCAGTTGACAGCCTGATTTCCCAGATGAGGCCAAGCCTCAGCAAACACTGGAGGAACTTAAAAAAAATGATTCACCAAGTACTGACACATAGAAATTAAGTCCAGCATCCACCAGCATCAGCAACACATGGAAGAATGTTGCAGGAACTTTATCATACTCCCTGCAGTATGAAGAAATTATCTGATTGTTTATTAAAATAATTTATAATTTGTTTGATAACAGTAATGCTTTAACATCCATGATGTGCCATGTATTATATTGTATAATATTGATTAAATATGTTAACTGATTGAACTGTATGATTTACTGGACACTGGCCTTCCTAATTATTTAAAAATAATGAAAGTGGTCCTCTGCTGTCCTTTAGAAAATCGTATCTTACCAAATCTTATTTCAGAGCTACATTACCACTTACCACCTGTGTGGCCAAACTAAATGGAGAACTGTGTTGTCTGAATCTCTCAAAGGTCCCAGTGAAGGGAACTTCAATGGAAAGTAGAGGACTCTACATTTTGGAGCAATCTGCTCTTTCAGGTCCTTGGGACGAAATTCTGGTTGTAACTTGAGGAACTTGCTTATGGAGTCCAATAATGAATCTTGATTGTAGTTAGAATTGAACAATATAATACAGCCACAAGACTGAAAATTAAAATTATAAACAATTGAGTACAATTTTAATTTACCTAGGTAGGTCAATAAGTAAGTTACAAATGGATATAGAACTTAAACAACTAAGAGTACTGATTTGAAAAATTCTTTTATTTCTCAATATAATCTTCCTGTACGTTGAGGCGTTTGTCCCAGCATATCACAAGCCCCTGAAAACCAGCAGCATAAAATTCTTTGGGTCTGCTGTCGGAACCAGGCGTGTTGGTCTTCCCAGAACCTAAAGGAGAAAAAGAAAAGCAAAATATTCTGTGTCTGAAAGTGAAGTAAGAAGAGAAAATTTGTTGATAAAACTTACGCAATAACAGACCTGTTTCTACCTATCAGTAGACTTCCATCACTTCAGCGTATTTAATTCTTTTTCCATTCCATGTTGTTTTATTTTCAAACATATCTGAATGAAACAATGTAAGAAACTAAGATATTTTCATGAATACCTCCAGCAAGTTTATTTTGAAAACTGAACCTAGGAATTGTGGAGATGAAATCTAAATCTGTATCATTCCACTCATATATGGGGTAACTTAACATACCCTGAACTTGTTATATTTATACAACTCCAGATAATCAAATTCTGTATAACTGTGTGTAGGAGCAGAATATTCTTATTAAATAAGTTAAATTATTGCAAAACTATTGTGTTAAAGTTTTATATTTATTGCATGTTAAACTGCAGGTCAGCTCCCTAGTTTTAATCATCCCATTCTGAATATTATTCTCTTCCTTTCTCAAGATTTTCCCATAGCCCAGAACCGTGGAACAATATTAGCAATCAAAACCAAGACTCTGGGCTACTTCTTGTTGCAAAGAGTGAAGTGCGACAACTTTCAATCACCTGACAGTTGCACTGTGGGTTCTTCTCTTACAAGACAACTTGTTTTATTCATCATTACAGAGTCCTTTAGAAAATGAACATCTCTCACAAAGAATGCCATCTTCTAGGATGTGGCATCGTGTAGATCTTGTCTGAACCGACGTTTTGGAGGAATGTATCGCCTCCATCTTCAGATTGCTCAGTCTGCAGCCACCTGCTCACGTTGGTTCCTCTCTCATGGATCTTCTACCCTGAAGATGGAGGCGATACGTTCCTCTGAAACGTCAGTTCACACAAGATATACAAGGCGCCACATCCCAGAAGACGTCATTCTTGTATATTTTTCCTTGCATATTTGTGGTTTATTTAATGGCATGTAAGTGACTTGAATTGTAGAGTGTCGAATTATTGGATGGTAATAAATAATGAATTGGAAGGACATAAAAGGAAAAAAGGGGCAACACAAACGTATAATATGGAGGGATTCAGTCTCAAGAAACTAAATGAGGTAAGGGATAAAGAACAGTACCTGGTTAAAATGATAAAACAGGCTTGCACTATATACAAAATTTAAATAATGATGCACATATTAATAGAGCTTGGGAAACTATTAAATAAAATTTAAAAAAAACTCAGCCAAAATGCCATTTTATATTATTATGAATTCAAGCAGCATTAGGACATGGTTGAAAGAAGGATGTTCAAAATCATTAGATCAAAGAAAACAAGCCAGATTGCAAAGGTTACAGGAGCTGAGCCAATAAAATGGGGATCATCTAAACAATGTACAATGTAAAGCTAGCAGATATTGATAACTAACTGACTAACTACCTGAAATTAAATTCCCTTAGTGGGGGTTGGAGTCCAACTGGGTCCACTCGGCACAGCGGCCACTGATTGGCCTATTGTAGCCTTCCCTGGGTGATTATGATGATGAAGAATTTGGTGAAATGAAGATTGGCAGGGAAACTGAAGTACTCGGAGAAAACCCACCCCAACGCCACTTTGTCCACCACAAATCCCACTTGACCAAACCCGGGCCGCCGCAGTGGGAAGCCAGTGACTAACCGCCTGAGCTATGGCACGGCCTAACTAACTATCTAACTAAATAATTAATTTTATGGAACTGATCCTTTCTTAGGAAGCCGCCAATTGTACAGCTACTCGTGAACTTTCCAGCAATTTATGGCATTACAGTGTTCACAAAAGCCTTCCACTTGTCCCTATCCTGAGCCAGATTGATTCAGTCCATACCACACCTTCCTAGTTCTCTAAGATCCTTTTTGATATTACCACATATAGGGTGTCTGACTATAGACAGGTTATGGATTGGTGAAAGGACCACTTGTATTCACCACTCAGACTACACTTTGTAGGTCACTGACACACACAGACAAGTATACTCAGTCTATTAGAGTCTCCACTAGCTGTTTCCTAGCAATGGTTTCTAACTAGGAAAATTCTTCAGCTACCTGTACTTAGCATTTACAGCCTTTATGGTATGCATCCTGCTGTAATATGAAAATATGTAATTTGGCACAGTCGCACAACAAAAAATCGAAAAGAAACAAAACAGACACTGCTTTGTCAACATTCGTTTTCATTCGTTGTTGGTGATATCACTAAATGTTTCAAACCTTTTCTTTGGTTATGTTCAGGTGTACACGAATACTATGTGGTTTCTGAATTGCATCATTAATCAATATGAATTCATACTGTGTCTATGATTATTCTATAATGACAATTTAATGACAACTTAAATTTAAAATGTGGTTCAAATATAGTTAATGCTAGACGTTAAACTTGATATTAAATGGATAACAATTAAAATTAAAATTACAGTTAAAAATTATAAATAAAATGACTATAAAGGAATTTATAGACAATATTACAAATTCCATTTATGTCTTGTGCCTGCTTGCTTACTTACTTACTTATGTACTTACTTATGGAGCTGAGCCCTTCTTGATGAGAAGCCCAATCTGCAGTTACTCCAAGTGGTCTCTTTCCGTCTGGCTTTCCCACCAATATCCTATATGCATTCCTTTCCCCCCATTCGTGCTACATGCCCTGCCCATTTCATCCTCCTTGACTTGATCATTCTAATTATACTTGAAGAAGAGTAAAAGTTTTGAAGCTCCTCATTATACAGTTTTTCCAAACTCCTGTCACTTCATCCCTCTTCGGTCCAAATATTCTCCTCAAAACCCTGTTCTCAAACACCCTCAGTCTATGTTCCTCCATTAATGTCAGAGACCAATTTTCACACCCATACAGAACCACAGGCAAAATTATAGTTTTTTATTAACTAATTTTTATTCCTTTGGACAACATACGAGAAGACAAATCATTCTGCACTGAATGGTAACAAGCATTACCCGAGTTCAATCTCTTCTTAATTTCATCCTCAATCAGCTTTTGATTTGTTATCATTGTTGCCAAATATCTGAACTGTGCCACATTTTCAAAACATCTGTTTCCTATCTTTATGTCATGATTTTGCCCTGCATTTTGTTGACGAGACAGTAACATATACTTAGTTTTCTCTGTGTTTACTTCTAGACCAACCTCTTTACTTGCATCAAAGTTTGTGAACTTCTTTTTATGGTGTCTAGATTATCACATCATCGGCATAGACCAAGAGCTGATGTGTCCCGTTTAATTTCAGCCCCACCTGGTTACCCTGGACCTTCCTAATTGCATATTCTAAAGCAAAGTTGGAAAGGAGTGGTGGTAAAGCATCTCCTTGTTTTAGACCATTCTGGATAGGAAGTTTATCATGCAAATGTTTGCCTATATGGGCTTTATTTACGTTTCATTTAAACACATTTTAATCAGCTTAACTAGTTTCATGGGTATCCCAAACTCTATCGGAATATTCTACAATATTTTCCTCCTAACTGAATCATATGCTTTCTTGAAGTCTACAAATAGCTGATGTACTGTCTCATTGTACTCCCAATTTTTCTTCAATATCTGACGAATGCAAACATCTGATCTGTAGTCGATCTGTTACATTGAAAACCACACTGATGATCCCAAATTATTTCATTTATGTATGGACATAAACGTGAGAGAAGAATATTGGATAAAATTTTGTATGAAGTTGATAGCAGTGATGTCCCCTGATAATTACTACAGTCAGTTTTATCACCCTTCTTGTGAACTGGTACAATAATAGATTCCTTCCACTGATCAGACAATTTTTCCTTATACCAACTAGAATTAATTAGCTTATGGATCTTAGTACGTAATATTTCACCTCCTGCTTCAACAAGTACAGCCAGAATTTGATCACTACCTGGTGATTTATACATTCTCACTTTTGCAATAGCAATTTCAACCCCAAAAGGGCTGGCAGCAGGTATTAACGGCTCAGCTGTATGCATTTCTCTCTGCCTAACATCTCTGATCCTATGTACCTGCAAGCAGATCACCGTTATTATTCTTCATCGAATTACTTCTAGGTTGGTAACACTTCTTAAAGTCATTTATTCCTCTATACAAGTCTCTAATGTTCTTGTTCTTACTGTTCATTGCAAGCTCATCAATTATGTCTTTCAGATATTCCCTCTTTTTATTCCAGAAATTCTGCTGGTTTTGCGTCTTATGTTGTTGCGATTATCCCTATTTTTTCGTCTGGATCTTGTAACCATTGCACATTGTCTTGTTTTCTTTAGTCTAGTAATTTTGAGCATCCTTCATCGAACCATGAATTATGTTTCTTCAGTTCATAATAACCTAGACTCTCCTTGGAAGAAATTTTTATATTCTAATAGTTTTCCAAGCTTTATTAACAACCATCTCAGTGTTCAAGGTTTTCAAGGCCGCAAACCTATTTGAGATTTCAAATTGATACTGCTCTTTAATTTCTTGAGATTGAACCTCTCCATATGAACACTGTGCGTTGTTTGTTTGCTCACTCGCAGTCTTTCCCTATCCTTTGCCACCACCAGGTAATGGTCAGTATCAGAGTCTGCTGCCCTGAATGATCAGACATCAAGTATACTTGAACGCCACCTCCTATCTATTGAAATATGGTGGATTTGATTGTCTATCTTCCCATCAGGAGATGTCGAAGTAAATTTATAAATGCTATTATGCAGGAACATTTTACTTTTGACAGTAAGATTTCTTGATGTTGCAAAATTTACTACTCGAACTACAGTATCATTACTAATTTTATGCAAAATCTCATTCCCAGTCGTTGGTTTGAAAATGTCTTTCTTCCTTACTTTGGCATTGAAATCTTCTAGCAAAATATTAATAGGGTATTTCTGGAATTTATCAAATACAAGTCCTAGTTCTTCAAAGAACCTGTCCTTTATGTCATCAATTTTATCTTCTGTTGGGGTGTGAATATTCATAATGATGATATCACACAGTGACCTTTTAGTATTATATATGATATCCTATCACTAACGAACTCTACCCTCTTAACTGCTGATACAATTATCTTATGTACAAAAAAAAATATGTACCTAATTCATGATTTTCATTTACATTTGCGAAGAAAAAATGTATATTCGCCTGCTGGTACAATGCCACCTTCATCCCATCTGACCTCCTCTACCCTCACTAAATTTAAATTATATTTTGAGATTTCTTCAGCCACTGTCCTGAGCGAAACTGCCCTATAAGAACTTCTAACATTACATGTACGAAATCTCATATCCAATTTCTTTAGCTTAGGTCTTTTATCCAAAGAATCAGTCCAGGCTCAAGGCTTCTTAAGAATTTTCATAACGAGTTTATTTTTACAGTGAGGAGCAGGAGCACCACGCCCAACCTCCAAGCTGAAGGACCACCCCTTAACAGCTCTCTGCAACTGACTATTCAATATATTCGATATATTCACAGCTTCCCTCCATACCTGGAGGGCGACTTCACCATTTGCAACCTGAGGACACGCCATGCCATGGTGACAAGGGACCCACTTAACTCTTTGACTGGCGCGGGCGTGTTTTAACGCTGGGGTGATGCCAACCGTTCCCTGGCGTTGGCGTGTTTTAACGCTTTGAAAATCTCTTCCCTTATTTGCTCTCTTGGCACTCATCAACCAAAGACATATATATGGTAGTTTTTGTGCATGGTTGTAAAGAACCCTTGTAAACGTTGTGGGGGTCTATATTACTCTCAGAACCCTCCGAGAAGGAAAAGTTCAAAAAATATTTCACATTCATTCAGTTTCACCGTGTCTTCTCGCAGCAATTGTCGACATGTTCCTACAGACCAGCTGGAAAGTGTTGTGAAGGAGATTTGTGCTGATGATGATAGTGGCGATGAAATAATGATTCCTGAATTGGATGAATTTGATAGTGACAATAATACAGTGATAGACAATGATCCACAAGACAGTAATGATGAACATTTAGCTAACACGAGTGCGGTGCCTGACGCCCAGAAAAATACAAGAGGAGAAATTACAAATTCAAAGATTTTATATTGAACTGTGTAGAAAAAATGACAGAACCAAACAAACAGTGTGGAGAGGGAGAACAGTCAAGGAATGAAGTGAATGACGAAACTAATGCGTCAGACTCGAGTGCAGTCACGCCTCCGCACGCGACCTTGAAAAGACCACCAGTGAAAGACCCAGAAAATCGTCTAGAGGGTGGCCTGAAAGTTCACAAAATGGTCCATGTTCCTCCCAGTAACAATAAGAAGAATGGTGCCATGAGAAAGTGTCGAGTGTGTGCTAAGCACAAGATTAGAAAAGAAACAAGTATCATGTGTGCAAGCTGTGGTGTGGCTCTCTGCAAACTTTCATGTTTCAATGTTTATCACACGAAGAAAAACTACTAAAAAGGTATGGAAAGACATTTATTGCATAAAATATTGTCTTTTTAATAGTTCCTGAAAATTTCATTTTTAAAAACCAATTTTTGTTGAAGTTGTTTAGAAAAAAGCAAGCACATGCATCTTAGCGACATAAGGTTTAAATGGCCTGCCAGGACAGGGGTGGGATTTAAATACCCTTCGTGCCAGTCAAAGAGTTAACATGGTTATTCAGAGCACTATTTTGTAAAATTTGGTCTTGGTTATTAGACATACACTTCTTGCCCTTTAGCTTTTTATTAACTTGCTGATCACACAACCTGTCATGTATGTTTACTTCTGAACGTAATGATTCGATTATTATTTGCATTGATTTCTTTTTTCCAATGTTTTTTCACTCCTAGCCTTTAATATATCACAATTTTCACAGCAACCATTTGGATTTCCATCAGTTGCCAGGTTCAAATACAGGGACCTATATTTACTTGAAGCATAGTACATACCGGTAGCTACTATGTACGATATAGTTCACAATGGGCAGTGCATGTGGGTAAGGAGAGGATGGACTAATGTAAATGAAATATTATGACTATACAAACACTCCAGATAAATAATTTCGCAACTCTGACCTTTTTCATTCAAGACACTCATAACTAGGGACCGGATTTTAATGCAAATGCATATTTCTTTCTTGCAACCAGAAAATGTGCTCGTTTGGATATATGTATGAATTACTTCATTTCTTAACTTTTGGACATGGCTTGATGGTGCATATTGTAACATGTGCGCGACTGAGAACCCCCCTCCACCCTCCTCTCCA